TCGAGCAGAAGTACCAGAGTACTTCAAAAACTACTACGACTTCAAATGACTCTGGTGTCTGAGAAAAGAGCAGTTTTATTAAACCAAACAAACTCACACAGGACTTTATGGAGCAGGTACATTTACTTTACAGATCCTACATATTTAAAAACATATTTACAATGATTGACCCACATCTTTGTCACTCACACTGAACAAACTTTAAAAACAGAACAAACCACAACGTCACGTCTGATGATTGTAAATCTAAACCTGGACTAAAACAAAAAACCCTCAACTGTTGGAGGACGGAGCGACTGGAGGAGCAGCTCTCTCCCTTTCACCGTTTAAAGTGCTGCAACTCAAAACGTTCACTTTTGTTCAAATATTGTCAGAATTCTTAAGTTTAAACACAAGTTACACGAAATTATTTATTGTAAGTTATTATTTTTCTAAGATTTATCGTATTTTCCGGACTGTAAGGTGCACTTAAATCTCATGCAAAATCAACTTTTCAGAGCTTTCTGCCTATTTGTCACTGAAGTGGTTTTTAGATTGATTCTGTGTTTTTTTTTTTAAACAAAAAACCAAAAACTAAACATTTGTCTGCCTAAGAAATCATCCCTGAGTTTACAGAGAACATTTTGTATGTGGAGCGACGACAAAACAAAATCCTGATCCGTCGCTCAACCTTGATTACGAATTTAAAAAGTCAACGCCAAAGTGAAAGTCTCCAACTGTTCACCAAGAAACACCTTCCACTGCAAAGACCAAGACGTGATGTTTGTGTAAAACCACAAGAACAAGAAAGTGCAGCTCAGTCTGTTTGTCTTCTGCTCCTCAACATTAACAAACAGGATTTTGTTTTGTCGTCGCTCCACATACAAAATGTTCTCTGTAAACTCGGGATGATTTAGTCAGACAAATGTTTCCTTTTTGGTTCTTCCTGTGGATCAATCCTGCCCATCACCTTCACCTTTCACTATTTTTCAATTCCGTCGGGAAGAGAAACAGTTTGAACGGAGGTTTGAGTCACACACATCTGATTCACTTTTGCATTTATGAAGTTCACAAACACATTTCTCGAGTCGTTTTCCGCTGTTAGAACATCAACAACCACAACAATTAACGACGTCCGAATCCCAAAACTAAAATACGACAATATCAGAACCAGAAACAAAAATGAAATGGTTCAAAAGACTCGAAAAGATCGACTTTGTCAATAGACACGTCCCACTGGCCGTGTTGGGAAGGTGACTTTTAAAACATAATCCCCTACAGATTATAGATTATAGACCTCAAAATGTAGTTTGTAACAGAATCCATTAAATTACTTAAAGTGAGTAATGTAATCTGATTACTTTGGATTACTTGATTTACTGCAGAGAAACAAAGACGAGGAAATCTTCACATAAGAAGTTTTGTCTGATAAAAGAAAATAAAAAGGCAGAGTCTTTACTGAACCAAATTAAAAATATTATTGATAGAAGAAGAAGAAACACGTCCACACAGCAGGATTTAGTCCTGGTTTAGACCTGGTTTAGTCCTGGTTTAGTCCTGGTTTAGACCTGGTTTAGTCCTGGTTTAGTCCTGGTTTAGACCTGGTTTATCCTGGTTTAGTCCTGGTTTAGTTCTGGTTTAGTCCTGGTTTAGACCTGGTTTAGTCCTGGTTTAGTCCTGGTTTAGTCCTGGTTTAGTTCTGGTTTAGTCTGGTTTAGACCTGGTTTAGTCCTGGTTTAGTCCTGGTTTAGTCCTGGTTTAGTCCTGGTTTAGTCCTGGTTTAGTTTCCTGGTTTAGTCCTTGGTTTAGACCTGGTTTAGTTTAGTCCTGGTTTAGTCCTGGTTTAGTCCTGGTTTAGACCTGGTTTAGTCCTGGTTTAGTCCTGGTTTAGACCTGGTTTAGTCCTGGTTTAGACCTGGTTTAGACTGGTTTAGACCTGGTTTAGACCTGGTTTTAGTCCTGGTTTAGTCCTGGTTTAGACCTGGTTTAGACCTGGTTTAGTCCTGGTTTAGTCCTGGTTTAGTCCTGATTTAGACCTGGTTTAGACCTGGTTTAGACCTGGTTTAGTTCTGGTTTAGTCTTGGTTTAGACCTGGTTTAGACCTGGTTTAGACCTGGTTTAGTTCTGGTTTAGTCTTGGTTTAGACCTGGTTTAGTCCTGGTTTAGACCTGGTTTAGACCTGGTTTAGTCCTGGTTTAGTCCTGGTTTAGTCCTGATTTAGTCCTGATTTAGACCTGGTTTAGACCTGGTTTAGACCTGGTTTAGTTCTGGTTTAGTCTTGGTTTAGTCCTGGTTTAGACCTGGTTTAATTCTGGTTTAGTCCTGGTTTAGTCCTGGTTTAGTCCTGGTTTAGACCTGGTTTAGTCCTGGTTTAGACCTGGTTTAGACCTGGTTTAGTCCTGGTTTAGACCTGGTTTTAGTCCTGGTTTAGACCTGGTTTAGACCTGGTTTAGACCTGGTTTAGACCTGGTTTAGTCCTGGTTTAGTCCTGGTTTAGTCCTGGTTTAGACCTGGTTTTAGTCCTGGTTTAGTCCTGGTTTAGCCCAAAATGTGAAAACAGGAAAATCCCGCCGTGTAAACCAATTATTTCAACAAAGTAACTGTAATCCAATTACCACTCACTGAAACAGTAACTGTAACTGAATACAGTTACTCATCATTTGTACTCTGATTACTCCGGTACATGTAATCTGTTACTTTCCAACACTGCCCACTGGGAAAACAAACATGGAGGTTTGTTGCTCGCTTTTTCAGAAAATCCTTCCCAGTATGAATTGCGCGATGACCTGAAGTCCGAGATTCTTGATAAAAAAGGCAGTGAAGATCCCACACCAACACTGCCCTCTTCAGGAAAAGCGCTGCAGACTCCCTTTACTCCCTTTACGTCCTCACGCTCCAAAGTGTTCGACGTGCAAGAATTCCAGGTGTATTTCCCTTTGAGTGTTCGGTTTAGTAAAAAGTACCGTCTCAAAAGCTGAGTTCGGCGCAGGAGGGTCACAGATCTCTCTATTGTCCAGAAGAGCTGACCTGTAGTGACCTGTAGTGCTGCGGTCTGGCCACGGGAGGCGCTCTCCATGACCTGTAGTTAACGTCCTCTTGGCTCATGTCAGTTTGAGGACGTAGTTGACGGGAAATGTGCCGCTCCTGGACGGGTCTCCCTCGATGTGACCCACCTGAAGGAAACAAAAACAACATCCAGAGTTTTTCACACGGACACAGGAAACGTTTTAATGTTTTAAAGAGACGTTACACAGACCAAGAAACGCTTTAAATCAGACTTTTTGTGCTTGTGTCGCCTCTAAAGTTAGAATCTACAGCACACAAAGCCAAAAACATTTCTCACTGGTCCAATTTACTGACTTTTCTCTGTGGCTCTTGACGAGGGCGGACGTGTTTTCTCTCCTGTTCTGCTCTATGTCCTGTCTCGTCTAGTGTCTTTATACTCTGAGACTCTCTCCGCTCTGCTGCTCTCCGAACCCAAATTAACTATGGATTTGATCATTTGGTCACCGAATGCAACTGACGTGATTTTTTTCTACGAGAAACTCAGGAACGGGCGAACCTGCATGAGCCGACGGAACTTTCCCCGCAGGAAACACGATGGACGGGCGGCAGAAGTGGCGGGTCGTGTGCCTGGCGTCTCTCTCCGTGGAGGACACAGAAGACATCTACATATTCGGAACCGTGATTATAGGTGTTTTGCTGTTTGGATCAGGCATGGCCCTGATTTTTTGAAAAGTTGGCATTACCGAGGCGGCTCGTCAACGCCCAACTTGCCGCCTATGTTTGATGTTTTTTTATGGACATGAATTGGCTACGACCTCAAAAAAGTCATGTGGTGTGACTGAGAATAACTTTAAAATTGTTTTATTTTTTAAAACATGATTGGGGTTTTAATCTAAGTTCTGAGTAATATGAAGTGTACAGAAACAAACTGTTGGCATTTCTTCTGACTTTTCTCTGTAAAATACATAAAATGAAGAAAAATGTCTAAAAGAACCATTCACTCAGTTATTAAAATTCTAGCCATAGAATTTAAATACCATATTTTTATTTGAAGAAAATTACTGCTATATATGAATGTATGTGTGTGTGTATGTGTGTGTGTGTTTATTCTATACATATGTTTTCATGTCCATCAACAGAGAGTTTCAGGGTGGGACGTGTGGAGTTTAAAAGGGAGAAAAATACTACACTAACTGGAACCTATGTAACTGGAAATGATAACACTCGAATACAAATTTGATCACAAAAACAATCAATGGCACATGTGGAACATGATTAAGTTATTATTTGGACATTTTAACTTGCAACATTCATCTAAGAAGACTTAATAAAAGAAACAACTCCACTCATCCACATTAGAAAACTGTGGCGCCCAGTGGAGCCTGACGTCTGAGGAATTCTATAATTCTCATGGATTCAGAAAATAAAAGTGAGCACAGAGCGGTGGACGTGTAAATGGAGGTTGATCTGCAAAATGTGGTCTTGAAAATAAGTAAATAAAGACTGATCAAACTCTCAACACACACAATACAACCTCGGTTAAGTTCTGAAAAGCTGATTTTGCTCTGTCGTTCTGCTTCAGTGAAACAAAGAGACGTGTAGTTGCACTTACCCACCAGTGGGGGTCACTACTTCCCGTGACTATGATGACCTCGTCCTTGAAGAAGGCGAGCTGCTCCGCGCTCACGGCCCTGCAGTCCACCAGAGCGCGAACACGTTTGTGATGAGGCCGACTGACAGACACCTGCACACACACACACACACACACACACACACACACACACACACACACACACACACACACACACACACAGTTACACACAGAAACATCACACTATGTTTCTCTTTGTTTCATTTCACATCTACACAACAACACAAAGCAGGAGGGACGTGTTCAACAGTGTTATAACTTTTTTACAACCTCTACACCCTGTATCATATTTTGATGAACTTTTACTAGTAATGAAAGGAATTGACCTTCAGTGGGTCATATTTTTCAATTTATCACCTCAGACAGGATTTTTTTTACGCGTTACAATCGAACAAAGTTGAGAGTTATTGTGAACGTGTTAAATAAATTTTGACTGACATATCTAACTGTTGTGTTTCGTTTAATGCGCCTCATAGTCCGGTGCGGTTTATATGTGAAAAAAGATCGAAAATAGACCATTCAATAATAATCCAGAGCCCTTTTAATGCCCAAAATACGGTAGTGATTTGGTTTGGCGTTCACATCTGCTCCATTAGAAACCAGAAGTGTCAGTAAAGTCTTGGGGGACAAATACCAAATTAAAAACTCACCAGTGAAATCACATAAAACACAAAAATTAGTGCTGTCATGCGATTAAAAAAATTTAGAGATTAATTAATTATGATCTGTAATTAATTAATCTAATTAATCTAATTTTAATCTCATCTAAAAATTGCTGAGAAAAGCTTCAATTTGAGGTATTTTCATTTAAATTCATTATTACATTATTGTGGCAGATCAAAAGACTCATATAGAACAAAAAAAGTGACTTTATAAAGTCATTTATTGTTTAACAAATCTCTCCAAATTGGCTGTTGAGCCCAAGTCTCACCGCGTTTTGTGTGGGTTTCCGGCAATGAGTGAAATTACCGAAATAAAAAAATTTATAAATGTGTTTTTGTGTGTGTGTTGTTGTCCCAGCAACACATGAAAACAGATTTTATAATAAAGCAACTCACATACAGAAACGGTAAAGTTAGAGATAAAAAATGAGATTAACGCGATTAAAAAACATAACGCGCTAAATATGACTGTAATTAATTAATCGCAATTAACGCGATAATTTGACACAACTAACTAAAATATAACTTTTCTTTACAGTAACCAAAAAAAAATCATGATATCAGTAAGTGTGCAGCTACAAGAGAACGTGAAGAAACCTGCGGCGTCTTACAAAGGAGTGAACGTGACCTGAGTCTCTGTGCGGACGTACCATGGCGTTCCTGCGAGTTCGGGGGGCGGGGTTCAGCGCCGCCGCCCCAGACGTGGAAGAGGAGGAGGAGGAGGAGCTGGAGGAGGACGAGGGGGATGAAGATGGAGCAGGAGGAGAGGAGGACTGCAGGCTACAGTACAGCTCCTCCTGACTCCCCTGGACGCTGCTGGCCTGGACGCTGCTCGCCTGGACGCTGCTCGCCTGGACGCTGCTGGCCTGGACGCTCTGGGGCAGGGTTTTGGACTGGGCTGCTCCTCCACTGCAGGTCCTGCGGTACGATGTGGTTTTCTGTGAACTGGCACCACACAGGACGGTCAGACACACACAGAAACATCTGCGCCAGACTGAATTCACACAGCTCATAGTTATATAAACTCTGTATCTAGTGTAACGATAGTGGAATAGTGAGTGTGTGAGCCCACGTGAACCTGCACCAGTGTCGTATGAGTAACAAACACTTCCTAAACCTGTCGCACTTTTGTCCTGAGACGTGTGTATCTGTATAATCACTCATATATATTTATTCATTTATTTTAAATAATGTCATAAGTATCAGAAAATTTTTTTTGTAAATTGTACCAAACCTTTGGATAGAATTCTCTCGTATTTTTTAACTTTTCAGCACAAATTGCTTCTTAATTGGTGTAACAATGTAATTTCTATTTATAATCATAAAATCTGTCAGATGCAGATGCACTTCATGATATAAGTAAAATGTTTGGCCCTTCTGGGCAAAAATCTGAAGATTGAGTAAAAGTTCATCTTAGTGCAGCACTTTACGTTTAAAAGTTTTATTTACTGTTTACAAGGAATTTATTTTTTATATTTCATACATTTGTTGTTTATTTGAGAATATTTTATTTAACTCATTAGTGTTACCAAGCAGCACTTTGCATTTATTTTATTTTCCCATTTGTATCATGGTTAAAACAAACTGTTTAATAAAAACACAAATAAACAAGCAAATGGTTTTGCATTTTGTTCCCAAACTGAACTGAAAATGAACTGAACCCTGACCTCAAAACAGAGGGACGTACTGAACTGGGATTTTTGTACCATTACACCCCTAATGACCATGAAACTATCTGAATTAGTTTCACTCTGCACGAAACATCCGCTCCCTACAGCAGCTGCCCTGGTCTCTCCTGGACTCTCCTGGACTCTCCTGGTCTCTCCTGGTCTCTCCTGGTCTCTCCTGGTCTCTCCTGGTCTCTCCTGGACTCTCCTGGTCTCTCCTGGTCTCTCCTGGTCTCTCTCCTGGTCTCTCCTGGTCTCTTCTCATCTCTCCTGGTCTCTCCTGGTCTCTCCTGGTCTCTCCTGGTCTCTCCTGGTCTCTCCTGGTCTCTCTCTCTCCTGGTCTCTCCTGGTCTCTCCTGGTCTCTCCTGGACTCTCCTGGTCTCTCCTGGTCTCTCCTGGTCTCTCCTGGTCTCTCCTGGTCTCTCCTGGTCTCTTCCTGGTCTCCCTGGTCTCTCCTGGTCTCTCTCCTGGTCTCTCCTGGTCTCTCCTGGTCTCTCCTGGTCTCTCCTGGTCTCTCCTGGTCTCTCCTGGTCTCTCCTGGTCTCTCCTGGTCTCTCCTGGACTCTCCTGGATCTCTCCTGGTCTCTCCTGGTCTCTCCTGGACTCTCCTGGTCTCCCTTGGTCTCTCCTGGTCTCTCCTGGTCTCTCCTGGTCTCCCTGGTCTCTCCCTGGTCTCTCCTGGACTCTCCTGGTCTCCCTTGGTCTCTCCTGGTCTCTCCTGGTCTCTCCTGGTCTCTCCTGGTCTCTCCTGGACTCCCTTGGTCTCCCCTGGTCTCTCCTGGACTCTCCTGGTCTCTCCTGGACTCCCCTGGTCTCTCCTGGACTCCCCTGGTCTCTCCTGGACTCCCCTGGTCTCTCCTGGACTCCCTTGGTCTCTCCTGGACACTCCTGGACTCCCCTGGACTCCCCTGGACAGTTTCCTCTAGAGTCGTACTTGTGCTCGCGTCCTTTCCCCAGAGTTTTACCTGACAGGTCCTTTGTGGTTGTTTGCAGAAGGAGCCGCCTGTGCTCCTGATCCTGCTCCAACCTGAACTTCTCCTGAAAGTCTGTGCCACGGCTGCAGACAGCCCTGACTCAGGGGCGAGTCAGGCGCCCTGCTGCCTCGGCCCTGACTCTGCGGTGAGCCCGGTGCCCTCCTGCCCTGGCTCTGTGGGGACCCCGGGGCCTTTCCGCTGTGGCTCCTGGTGACGGTGGGGCTGTGCCGGGATTGGCTCTGGGGGCTGGACGAGCTCTTGGTCGGGTCCTGAGAGGAGGTGGAGATCTGAGACTCTGAGCGGCCTGTACAAGCAAAAGACACGATCAAAAAACTGACAAACACTGGACAATACAGGAGGAGGAGCATTTGAAAGCAAGTCAATCAGAATTTTACCCAAAAAAGAAAGAAAGAAGTTAAATGTACCGGATATTTCCATGTATAATAAATAAATGTCAATCTTTATTTATAGCACTCTTTATAACACTTAAGGTGCCCAAAGTGTTTTTCCAATCAAATCAGCTGTAAAGAAACTTGCAAAATATTAAACAGTAAAATAAAAACTAATTGCGCAAAGTCAGTGCGTTACTGCATTAGTGCTGAAATGTCTGAATATTTTTATCTTGCGTTTAAACAGGCCAAAGTCTGTAATGATGCACATGCCAGAGTCTGGGGCAACAGAAAAACAAGATCTGTATTTCATTGTTTTTTATGAGACGACATGATAATAAAATAAACATATGGACAAGTAGTTTTTTCTGGGCAAAAATCTGAAGATTGAATAAAACTTCATGCTTAACTGTTCGTGCTGCACTTTACTTTTTGAAAAGTTTTGTTTACTATTTACAAGGAATTAATTTTTTTGAATATTTCATACATTTGTTATTTAACTTATAAGTTTTACCAGCAGCACTTTGCATTTATTTTATTTTCCTGTTAAAACAAACTGTTGGTTTAATAAAAACACAAATAAACAACGAGCAAATGGTTTTGCATTTTGTTCCCAAACTGATCCGAAAATGAACCGAACTGTGACGTCAAAACCGAAGCACATCCTGAACTGAAAGACGAGCAGGTGACGTCATCAGTCCAAGTTACAGGTCACATCTGTGCAGAGGCAACCCCCCTCACAGGAAGAATGGTCTTTTCAAGTTTTTGAAAATTTGGAAGAATAAAAACACACGTTTAACAGTTTAAGGCAAAACTGCTCGTCCCTGTAGACAATCTCCACAGACACAAGCAGGTAGCGGACCCCACACCTGGCATGTTCCAAAGTGCACCTTTAACCTTTAAACTTCTCTCACCTCTCTCTCTCTGAATGGCCTTGGCGGGCAGAGGAGGAGGTGGCGTGACTCGTCCACTGGGGGCGCTGTTGTTGTAGAGGAAGTCCAGGTTCTCGTAGGTCTGACAGGGCCGGGAGCCGGGGGAAGCGTTGGCCACACTCCAGCGGGCAAACGTGTTCCCGTTCCCCGACGCAGTGGAACCGTGGCTTTTGGGCGACGGGCTCACCTGGAGAAAAACACAAAAATATACTGCAGTCAGTGTTTGTGTTACAGAATCAGGATGAAAAATAATAAATATTAATGCATCAGTTTTATATGGAGCTTTTCTGGACACTCAGAGACTCTTTACAGAGACTTTTCCAGATTCATACACTAATAATAAATGACTTTTTTTTTTAGTTAATTTATCTTATCTCCAAACATATTTACTAGTAAATAAAAGAATAAACCTCTTGTTATATCAAGGCCAAAAACTGCAAAAACTAAAATCTAGTCAAGTTAAGATGACTCCAATTAAGAAAGTTTTATCACGTCAGGTTTGAAAAACAAACTCTTGGTCTGAATAAAGAACCTAATAACATAAGTTTTATCATGATTTAAGTCAATGAAACAAGACTTTTTGTACTTAAAATATGAAAATACAACTTGCTGCACTTAAAATCAGAAATTAAGTCTCGTCTTAAGACCGACTTTAATTCTCTGGCTTTTAACACTGCATGAGCTGTGGTCCTCTGTTTATTTAATTTACATTTTTTATTTAATTTTTTTATTTTTTATTCAATTTATTTATTTAATTTTTTATTTTATTTTATTTATTTATTGTTTATCTATTTTTAGTACTGCTTTTATGTATTGATTTTATTCTTTTTGTTCATTGGTTTTATTATTATTAGAACATAATTCTGCATAATTCTGCAGATTTTTTTTTAAGTAAAATGTTTTACGTCACTATTTGAAGCACTTTGGAAACTTTCTTGTTTATAAAATGTGCTGTACAAATATTGGACTGGAAGCAACAACAAATATTTGCACTTAAAATAAGAAACAAAATCGAACGTGGCTTGAATTAAGAAAAACACACTTGTTCCATTAGCAGATAATTTGACTTTTCAAGTTAAATTGACTCAAATAAAGTCAAATGTTCTTAATTTAAGTCATTTTAATTTAGTTAGATATTGTTTATTGCAGCGTAAACTTGGACTAGATTATTGGATCTTGTTCAAACAAATTTGTTCAAACCACTGGAGTAGAAATCTGCACATGACTTCACAAACAAGAGCACAGTAACAGAGTGGAATGGTAATAAATAATAAGAATTAAATAACAGTTATTACATTTAATTAAATGACACATCTCTTACTTTGGTAATATGATTAATTATAATCCAGAATGAAGATTGTAAATGAAGGGTTCTGTGTTTTATTGGAACTTGAAATCAGAGCTGTACTTCTTTTTATGCTGTTCACTTCAGTAAATGACATTCAGTGTCGGGAAGGTGACTTTTAAAATGTAATCCCCTACAGATTACAGATTACACACCCCAAAATGTAGTTTGTAACGTAATCCATTAAAATACTTAAAGTGAGTAATGTAATCTGATTACTTTGGATTACTTGATTTGCTGTAGAGAAACAAAGACGAGGAAATCTTCACATAAGAAGTTTTGTCTGATAAAAGAAAATAAAAAGTCCAGATTTTACTGAACCAAATTAAAAATATTATTGATAGAAGAAGAAGAAACACGTCCACACAGCAGGATTTAGTCCTGTTAAATCCTGGTTTAGTCCTGGTTTAGACCTGGTTTAGATCTAGTTTAGACCTGGTTCTAGTCTTGGTTTAGTTCTGGTTTAGACCTGGTTTAGTTTCCGGCAATGAGTGGAATTACCAAAAAGAAAAAAAAAGAAAAGAAAAAAAAAAGGGGATTTAGCCCAAAATGTAAAAACAGGAAAATCCCGCCGTGAAATCGATTTATTTCAACAAAGTAACTGTAATCCAATTACCACTCACTGAAACAGTAACTGTAACTGAATACAGTTACTCATCATTTGTACTCTGATTACATTACTCCGGTACATGTAATCTGTTACTCCCCAACACTGATGACATTATTACAAACTATATTTCCATGGAATTTAACACGCACATTTTGTAATAATATAATATGTACTATGACATTATTACAAAGTGCAGTCCTCACTTTTCTGTTGTTTTTGTTTATTTATTTAAACTAAATGATCTCGTGCACATTCAGAAATGTCGTGAAACCAAAGACATGTTGTACATCACATAAACACTAAATTGAATCGAGTCCAAACTCGCTGACTGACATTTTATCTGCTCTGGCACCACACAATGAGAACATTTATGTCTGATCGGGCTCTGTGCTCAAAATGGCGTCTTTGCGGTTTGTCCGTCATAGTGAAAGTGAAAGTGAGCCGTGTTTACCCTCTCGTCCAGATCGTCCTCGCTGTCGTACAGCTCCTGGCTCGGACTCTCCCACACGAACTCCACGTGGATCTGAGAGTTAAACTGACCACTCTGCGCCAGCTCCAACTGCACGACCACACAGGAAGAAAGACAATGATAGATTATTTTACTGAAATTTAAATCAGATTTGAAATAAGAAATAACCACATAGATTTTTATTTTACAAGACTGATCTAAAATAATTAATCACAAACTTCTGGTTTAAAGTTGTCTAAATGTTTTTGGTGAAGTGTGGAGAGGTTCTAGTCTTGTGTGTGAGGATCTGCTGCTCCTGTTCCTCCTGCACCACTGTCACTTGGCTCTACTGCGCATGTCTCCTGCAGAAAGAGCCTCTGTCCTGTCTGTGTCATGTCAGTCGATCGCACCGTTACTTCTGAACAAACTTATAAAGACAAAGACTGAGAAGACTGAACACAAACGCCTCCAAAAACAAAATCGGATTCTGCAGATTACAAACTGCAAGTCGTGAAATCTGCAGCCGAAAATGGAAATCGAGCAGCAGAAAGAAAGTTTGGAGTGAGAGAGAAACTAGTGACACCGGGAGGATGCACCATGAAACTTTCCCGAAGTTACTGGATGGATGGACAAAGTCTGGACTTCAGTGACACCGAAACCATCCTGTCGGGATTCAGAAAGACCCCAATAATTCTATAAACTTCTTGGGTTCTTTTTAAAGACAAAACAGTAAAGTGGATTTACCTTGTTGACATGAATCTCAGACAGTTCTGAAGATGCAGCAGCCGAAATATGTCAACAAGGTAAATCCACTTTACTGTTTTGTCTTTAAAAAGAACCCAAGAAGTTAAAGTACAGAAGAAGACAAAATGAACATCTTTGGTGGAATAATTCTAACTGGAACTGATGCTGAGTCTGACGACAGCGACACAGAAGAGTTTGCGTCGCTCTGTTTACCTCCGGAGGTCGAGGCCGAGTTGTTCAGAAGTGACACCGAGGATGAAGAACTGAATGGATTTAGTGATTTGGAGTGAGATGGAGAGTTTGGTTAAACTTGTTCTGTTCTGTTGTTTATGTTATAGTTTATGTGAAGAACTGTGAAATATGTGACGTTAACAGTCTGTTGTGTGAAGAATCCCTCAGTCGTCCAGGTAGAATCATGGCAAGGAGAAAACTCAGTTTGTCGACTGGACAAAATTTAGTTTGGTTGAAGACGTTTCACAGCTCATCCAAGATGCTTCTTCAGTTCTGTTTTTTTCTCTATCTCAGTAGTACTCTCAGTAGTACTCTTAGTAGTACTCTCAGTAGTACTCTCAGTAGTACTCTAAGTAGTACTCTCAGTAGTACTCTCAGTAGTGCTCTCAGTAGTACTCTTAGTAGTACTCTCAGTAGTAGTACTCTCAGTAGTAGCTCTCTCTCAGTAGTACTCTTAGTAGTACTCTCAGTAGTAGTTCTCTCAGTAGTACTCTCAGTAGTACTCTTAGTAGTACTCTAGTAGTAGTAGTACTCTAGTAGCTCTAGTAGTACTCTTAGTAGTACTCTTAGTAGTCTCTCTTAGTAGTACTCTTAGTAGTACTCTCAGTAGTACTCAGTAGTACTCTAGTAGCTCTTAGTAGTACTCTTAGTAGTGCTCTTAGTAGTACTCTCAGTAGTACTCTTAGTAGTGCTCTCAGTAGTAGTACTCTTAGTAGTACTCTTAGTAGTAGTACTCTAGTAGTAGTACTCAGTAGTAGTAGTACTCTCAGTAGTGCTCTCAGTAGTACTCTAGTAGTAGTGCTCTCAGTAGTAGTACTCTTAGTAGTACTCTTAGTAGTACTCTTCAGTAGTACTCTTAGTAGTACTCTCTAGTAGTAGTAGCTCTCAGTAGTACTCTTAGTAGTACTCTAGTAGTACTCAGTAGTACTCTAGTGCTCTCAGTAGTACTCTCAGTAGTGCTCTCAGTAGTACTCTTAGTAGTACTCTTAGTAGTACTCTTAGTAGTACTCTTACTAGTAGTGCTCTCAGTAGTAGTACTCTCAGTAGTGCTCTCAGTAGTACTCTTAGTAGTACTCTTAGTAGTACTCTTAGTAGTACTCTCAGTAGTACTCTCAGTAGTACTCTCAGTAGTACTCTTAGTAGTACTCTCAGTAGTACTCTTAGTAGTACTCTTAGTAGTACTCTTAGTAGTACTCTCAGTAGTGCTCTCAGTAGTACTCTCAGTAGTACTCTCAGTAGTACTCTCAGTAGTACTCTCAGTAGTGCTCTCAGTAGTACTCTCAGTAGTACTCTCAGTAGTACTCTTAGTAGTACTCTTAGTAGTACTCTAGAACTGAAGAAGCAGCTTGGATGAGCAAAACTGCGAAACATCTTCAACCAAACTAACTTTTGTCCAGTCGACAAACTGAATTTTCTCTTTGCCATTAACAGTCTGTTCTTCTCTCTTCTATTGTTTTTACTACAACTTGACTTTACACACGAAATGTCTGCTCCTGATCTCTCATTTTATAACTTACATTTCCCTCAAAAGTGCCACTTGTATCTGTTTTTTTTCTTCCTCATTACTAATTTTTTGGCTGGTGTAACTTATACTCTGATAAATACAGTATATGTCCGACCAGAATATCGGCTGAACCGATATTTGGAAGCTTTTATCTGATGCAGCACATTTTTCAGCATTGGTGCTGGTATCCAAAATCCGATACCAGCATCAGATCGGTGAATGAACTAGAAGTGGCGCCCTCTGGTGACTGCACGGACAGAGGAGGAGGAGGGGCTCAGCTGTGGGAGGTTCTGGTTCTGGTTCTGGTGCTTTGTGAGTGCAGAAAGTGTGAAATCTGTTTTCTGTGTGTGTGTGTGGTGTTGGTGTCACAGAGGAGCTCAGGTCTCACCAGTTCGACACAGTGTGTGTGCTGCAGCCTGCGGGCCATGTCCAGAGCCGACTCCCCGGCTGCGTTCACTGAGGACACAAGGAGAACAGAGTAAATGAGCCGTTTGTTACACCGAGCTGCTCGCTGTAAACGCTCTGCTTAAAGATTAACTAATGTGTACACACAGTATATAGAGCATTCACTCAGTTTTTCAGTTGTTGATCTTGTGTTTAAATGAATAATGGAAAAAAGCAGATAACGGCCATTTCCAGTTTCTGTGATTTCAACTGCGATGCTGGACTTTTGTGCCGCAGACCTGGTTCAGTCCGTATGTTCAGTCCTGGTTCAGTCCGTATGCGGCACAAAAGTCCAGCATCGCAGTTTAAGTCATGGAAATGGGAAAGGGTTGTTGCACAGACATGGTGCAGAAGTACCTGTGTGAAGAGCGGCTTTAGCTTTGAGCAGTAACTTGAGAGACTCTGGTTTGTGATGCAGGACGCTGTAGTGCAGAGCCGTGTTCCCCTCACTCGTCCTCTTCTCCACACAGTTACTGCAAACACCACACAAACACTCAAATACTGCAGGTTTATTATTTAATATTGTTTAATTTATGAAATCCTTGGTTAGTAAAACATTCACATCCTGGTAAATCTCCTGTAGTTTAAGAAGCCCAGACAGAGGACAGACTTAAAGGTGAGAAGGTTTCAGTGTTAAAACATCGTGGAGCTGCTGACCTGTTCTGACAGAGGAAATCCACCAGGGCCAGAGAACTTTTCTCCTCCAGACGAACAGCGACGTGCAGCGCCGTCTCCTTCAGCTTCTGAAACACAAAGACGTGTGTCCTTCAAACTCTCCCTCTATATATATATGTATATATGTATACGTACTGAACTTTGGCATTTAAAGTAATATACTGGGAAAACACTTGAACATTCTGGAGTGTTTGATTTTAGAGGGTTTTTTTTTCTCCACTGGCTCCAGGCAGGCGTTGCAGATTTGCAACAGCTAAATGCCAATTACCTACTTACTCCACATCCATATTTTATTGAGCTTTTTTTAATCAGGAGCCTTTTTTTTCCATCCATGCTGATAAACGTGGACGATACAGACTGTGCAAGAACGACTACAAGCAAATGACCTGCCAGAAGTGCAAAATACTTTTGTTGTTTACAAAAGATAAAAAAGTCAGGATTGTATGTTACTACCCCATATGATAATTTTCCCCAAATATCAGATTTTTCCTGATACTAAAAATTAATTTGAGCCTGAGAGGGTTAACAGTAAAAAAAGACAAACTAATATTTTTTTGTTGTTGGTGCAAAAAATAAAAAATAAAACTTAGAAAATGGAGCCTAAATGACGTTTTTTTTTGTGTTTTTTTTTCTTGCCGCTCAGGGCTTCCGTACCTCACCTATTCTGATGTTAAAACCTGTTTATGGTTGATCTGTTTTCTGAAAATAACTAAAATAACTGGACACAAAGCTCAGTGTCTCTGCCAACACAGATCCACAGCTTCAAGACCAGGTGGTATTATTCTGGGAGAAAAGCGTGACTTGTGCGTGACTTGTGTGTGTCTTGTGTGTGACTTGTGTGTGACTTGTGTGTGACTTGTGTGTGTCTTGTGTGTGTCTTGTGCGTGACTTGTGCGTGACTTGTGCGTGACTTGTGTGTGACTTGTGTGTGACTTGTGTGTGACTTGTGTGTGACTTGTGTGTGTCTTGTGTGTGTCTTGTGCGTGACTTGTGCGTGACTTGTGTGTGACTTGTGTGTGACTTGTGTGTGACTTGTGTGTGTGTGTCTTGTGTGTGACTTGTGTGTGACTTGTGTGTGACTTGTGTGTGTCTTGTGTGTGTCTTGTGCGTGTCTTGTGCGTGACTTGTGCGTGACTTGTGCGTGACTTGTGCGTGACTTGTGCGTTCACTGACCGGTGTGTCGGGGGTGGGCAGGGGCTGGACCAGGTCGACCCCCTCGGCGTACAGCTGCAGCAGGGCGCACAGGTCCCGGCTCCTGACGGCGTCGTACAACCTGCCGGGGTCGGAGTCTTCTCTCCTCACCACGTAGCGTCGCTCTGCGTACTTGGACACGATGTACTCCTTTCGGGCGCTCCTGAGGTCGGCACAAGCGAGTCAATACAGAGAGTTAGTATCACTCAGTTAAGGTTTAGTCACAATAACCGGCAAGGGCAATTCACCCGTACGGCTGCTGACATTTCTTGGCCCGTGGGGTTCTGTAGAGAGAGTTTTCTAAGTGCTTCGTAAGGGTGGTACAAGTGTGGCTTGTGGGTCCCGTGAGACTCGTACGGAACCCTGGGAGAAATTTCTGCAAAGTGGGGCATGTGAGTGTTGTGCGGGTCTTAAGACTGTCGTGAGGCAATAGTGCACCGTACTCAAGTGCCACACAAGGGTCACGTACGAGTCAAAATCTCGTACAGACCAATTGTAACGCACTCTAGTTGTTTGTACGAGGCAAGTACAAGCCTCTTACGCGGCTCGTGCGACAGGCTTACGTCATGTGGCTCTTATCGCCGTGCTGTATAACACTGGGTTTGTCATCACCACTTCCTCACATCGTACTCATCCATCGTTCGACCAGGGCGATGCCAAGACGGCTCTTACAACGCTTCCCTGTGGCCGTCGCGCTGTGGCCGCTGTCACTGTCCCCACTAGTGCCTCGCTCCCTGACTGCCTCCTCCTCGGCCTGGGGACCTGCTGTGGCTCCTCCTCCTCCTCCTGCTGCTGCTGCTGCTGCTGCAGTCTCCGGGCCTCACTGTCACGGCCCTTCCCCGTCCTCTTGCCCTTTGCCTTCCCCTTTGCAGCATCTTTTCGGCGTAAACTTGGTGTGTACAGTACGGCTGCTACGACTCGTGTGTAAATGGTAAATGGTCACATTTTTCTATAGCACTTTTCCACCTTCAAGGCACTTTAAGAGCTTTACAACACACCAGTGTACGCAGACACTGTGGGCAAGGTGGGTTTAGCGTCTTGCCCAAGGACACAACGACAGCATTCATCTGTTGGAATCACACCAGCAACCTGTGGGTCAGTGGATCTGACGCTCAACCTGTGATGTTTTATGTCGAGAACTGGAATCGAACCACCAACCTTCAGATCAGTGGACGAATGCTCCACCAACTGAGCTACTGCCGCCCTGTGCCGGGTGTGTGCGCCCGCACGAGCATCGCATCGAGGCCTGCACGTGACCCGTAGGAACGACGCAGTTGGCGTGAGAAAATGGAAAAACCTGTGACACACCTGCATGACGCGTACTTGACCCGTACTTCCCCCGTAAGAGTGAGATTCGTTAAAATGTTTGTTTGTGTTTCATTTTAACTTTGCACAAGAAGTGGTTTAACAAAGACTTTTAGTATCACAGCCACGATTTAGATTTTATTTTTTATTGAACCGTATCGAATCGATTTGAAATATATCATATCGAATCGAAAGTGCAGTGTATCGAGATATGTATCGTATCGGCAACTCCTTAATGATACTCAGCCCTCGTCCGTGGGACCCGTGCAGGTTATTGTGACTAAGGCTTTAGGAAATGGGATTTTCTCAACATTGCAGGAAAACATTCTGCTCCAAAGTGAAGAACAGCGACATGTTTGTGGTGATTCATGTGAGGTCAGTGATAGAGTGAGAGCAACGACAAAGACGGCATCAGAACTTTCTCTTTCTTTTTAAACCTCTGTACAAATTCAAACATGTAAAAAAAAAGTGACCAGATTTTCAAAATAAAAAACTGGGAGATCCCTGGTTTGGGTTGTTAATAATAAAACTGCTCTAATGTGAGTCAGTACAGTCACATTTTCTTTGTGTTTTGGTCATTTTGAAGCAGCTTTTCTGAATTTTACCTAAACAAATGACAACGTATGTGTCTCTTTACTGTTGGCAGGCGATCAAATGTGTCAAAAATAAAGACACCTGGGACATTTCTTGTATAAAACTGGGACATATTGATGGTTTTGTGTAAATCTGGGGGCACAGGCTCAAAACTGGGACTGTCCTGTCACCTTAAAAAAAAATAAAAATCCAAATGTTCAAAATCATGGGCTCGGATAATCTGTGTATCATTCGTTCATTTGTTTTTCAATGTAAAACCAAAAATAAGAAAACGAAAAAACAACAGTTTTCTTCACTATTTGTCTCCAAAACCAAAATGAAAAAACCGATAACGATTCGTTTTTTCAGTTTTCGATTTTGTGTTTAAATGAAGAATAGAAAAACGACCGTTTCCCGTTTACGTGACTGCGATGCCGGACTTTTGCACTGCATACCCAGGACTGATCCAGGTCCGAGACCAGACCGGGACCAGAGTGGGACTGAGACTGGGACAGACCGGGACCAGACCGGGACCAGAGTGGACTCCGAGCTTTGACTCCGAGCCTCCACGGGGTCTGAGCCTCCGGTCTGGTCCCGGTCTGGTCCCCTGGTCTGGTCCTGGTCTGGTCTCGGACCTGGATCAGTCCTGGTTCAGTCCGTACGCGATGCAAAAGTCCGGCATCGCAGTCACGGAAGTCACGTAAATGGGAAACGGTCGTTTTTTTTTTTTTCCATTCTTCATTTAAACACAAAATCGAAAACTGAAAAAACGAAGAAAACTGTTCTTTTTTTCGTTTTCTTATTTTTGGTTTTATATTGAAAAACGAATGAACGAATGATACACGGATTTCGGATGAAGGTGTAAAAGGAAACGTGCTGTTGTAGAATAAAAGACAAAGGCCTCTCACATGTCACTGTTTGGCAGAGGTTTGACCAGATCGTTGGGAAGTCCCGCCTCCATGATGTCGTTGAAGCGTGTGTTGCCAATACAAACGGCCAACTGCAAAAAAAAAAACAAAACACAAATACAGACGTGTAAATACGAGCCGCGCACGACAGTCACATGACCAGAGTTTATACTGCACAGTTTTATCTGTTATCATCTCGTTTCTTCATCACAAACACACCTGGACTTGTGTTTTGTTTCTTTCTTTTCTCTCAAACTGAAAAAACTCTGTTCCACTTTGTGATTCTGTTAAATAATGCTCCACCTTGTTTTTTTAAACTCCAAACAAAACATCAATATTCAAAACCACTTAAAGCTGAACTGCGTAATATTTCTAGTAGAGAGTTCTCCAGCGGCTTGTCTCCATGGAAATGTCTTTGCTTGGTCTAGAATGTTCCACAGTGTAGATTAAAACACTAATCTAAAAGTCCAGGACTAAAACCAGGACTAAACTAAGACTAAAACCAGGACTAAAATGGGACTAAACCAGGACTGAAAACCAGGTCTAAACCAGGACTAAAATTAGGACCTAAAACCAGGATCTAAACCAGGACTAAAACCAGGACTAAAATGGGACTACACCAGGACTGAACCAGGACTAAAACAGGTCTAAACCAGGACTAAAACCAGGTCTAAACCAGGACTAAAACCAGGTCGAAACCAGGACTAAAAATCAGGACTAAAACCAGGACTACATCAGGACTAAAACAGGACTAAAACCAG